TTAACAATCAATCCAAAAGCATAAAATACTTCAAGTTCGAAACCAAAAAGGATCCAATGATCCATAAACTATGAAGTATGAAATTATTGGGTTGGGTTGGAATCCATGAGTATGAAATTATGAATCAAGTTGTAATGAAAGGATCCAATGATCCATAAACCCAAAACCAAAAGCATGCTTATGTTTGGACAAGACGACGTGAAAAGGGGGAGCTACAGGCTAAAGTAGCAAAGAAAAGGGCATGAAAAGGGGAAGGGGAGGCGGAGCTGCAGGCGGTGTGAAAAAGGAGTGAAAAGGGGAAGGGGAGGTGGAGCTGCAGGCGACGTGAAAAGGGCGTGAAAAGGGGAAGGGGAGGCGGAGCTGCGGGTGGCGTGAAAAAGGCATGAAAAGGGGAAGGGGAGGCGAAAAATAACCTAAGTTATAACTCAATCACAGCCGTTCATTTCTTTTAAAAGTAATCTAAGCCATTGACAAAATAACCTAAGTTATAAAACGTTATGACGTTACGTTACGTAACTTACGTTATAGCTAAAATAACGTGCGTTATTTTGTCTTTGCGTTATTTTCAAACGTTACGTAACGTTAAGCTACCGTTACGTTACGTTAAGCGTTATTTTGCGTTACGAAACGCGTTATTTTCAACACTGATTAGCATATACCCTATTCACTCTCCCTCTAGGGTAAATTCATTAATGACACTATTTTATATTTTTTCTCAAGTCTTTAAATCTATTTGAAAGTGTTTCAAAAATTGTTTCATCAAAATCAAGTATTGACATTTTCGTAGTTTCAACCGTTTTGCAAAATAAATAAGTTTTTAATGTTGATAAATGAAATTTTAGAATTTCCTTTTCTAACATGTTCATCTTCATATATATATACATTTTCCCAAGTTTTATTAATTTTGGAGTTGTTTTGTTATTTTAAATTGAATTTACAAAAACAAGTTTTCAACAGTTTTCAAAATCTGGAATATCTATTTTTAAAACAGTGAGTTTTCACAAATACGAAGTGATATTTTAGAAATTATTTCTCTAACATGTTTATCTTCATGTGTACAAATGTTTTCCCAAATTTTACTATTTTTGGAGTTGATTTTCTATGTTAAATTAAATTTAGAAAATCAGCTATGTAAAATTTTAGAATCTGCAGTGCATGTTTTTAGTCGATCATGAATAGTGTTTTTAGTCGACCATGAACAGTGTTTTTAATCGATCGTGAATAGTGTTTTTAGTCAACCGACACTATCCATCAGTCGACCGAACAGAAGCAGTTTTTTAGCCTTTCTTTTTACAGTCAAATCAGTCGACTGACATAGTTTATCAGTCGACCGATAACAGTCATATTGTACAGTAACTGCTAGTTTTTTGATTGTTTTGTTATAGAAGCTATATATATGCCTCATAACTCATTTATTTTATTTAAAAAAGTTTACAAAAGTATTTTATCAGTTTGTTTAAGAGTTTTTTAAGAAAAATCAAGTGTTTGTTTATGTGAAGAAAGTTTCACAAAGAGGAGGATTTCAATTTCATTTTTGAGGAGTTCAACCTCAATTCTTCATCCCTCTTTGTTTAGAGAAAATTTTTCTAAACTCATTATCTAGCTTATTTTTATTTTAATTCTTATATATATATTTGCTAGATTAATTTGAGTTTAATTTTTATTATACTCATTGTTTACACACACAATCACTTGAGCTTAAATATATCACATATAATATATTTTGGATTGTGGGTATATTTCATTGAGAGAGCTTAATTTTCGTTCTCATTCATATTAGAGAACAAATCTTGTATTTGCACTCTCATTGAGAAAACACGTTGTATTACACAAGGACACTTAGAGGAGTGGTTGAGAGAAGAACGAGGTCAATTCCAAGTGGAGTGACTTGGTTGTAAAAGTCTAGGGAGAGGTAGTAATTCCAAGCACTTGAGGAAAGTGACACGGGTCAACCAACACTTAGAGAAGTGTATTGTGTGATTGTCAATGTATGGTAATTGTAAAAGTTTTCGGTGAACTTGGAAAACCGATTGTGTAGTTGAACTGTGATTAATGGAGAATCTCCTCGAGGTGAGGAGGGGAGACGTAGGTCGAGTGTTAGACTGAACTCCTTGATCATATTTATTGTTTGTGATTGCCTTGGCGTATTATTCTTGTGCTCATTGTTTATCATATTTCTATATCGCCATTGTCTCATAGTTTATATCGCCCATTGTTAATTATACATCACTGCATATATCACTTGTGTATATCATATTGCTAGGATATTGTTAATAAGTTTTAATTTGGCATCGATATCGGATTAGATTAGCAATTACCCTATTCACCATCCTCTAGCACACTAGTAGAAAAATGAGCATTGGCGACGGGGAAATCCGTCGCCAATGCAGCAAAATCCGTCACCAATACACTTTCGCGACGGGCGGAGTCCGTCACCAATAATCCTATCGCCAATAAACATTGGCGACGGGAAAATCCATCGCCAATGTTCATTGGCGACGGATAGGTATTGGCAACGAAAAACATTGGCGACGGGCTATAGCTCGTCGCCAATGTACATTGGCGACGGGAATACATCCATCGCCAATGTACATTAGCGACGAGTTGTAACCCGTCGCCAATGTACATTGGCGACGGGAATACATCCGTCGCCAATGTACATTAGCGACGGGGTCATCCCCGTCGCCAATGTACATTGGCGACGGATGTATTCGCGTCGGGCCAATGTACATTGGCGACGGGAATACATCTGTCACCCAATTACATTGGCGATGGCTATACAGTCGCCGAATGTACATTTTGGCCGAGGAATACATCCGTCGCCACATGTACATTGGGCGACGGCAATTACCCATCGCTCAATCGTTTTCTGTCGCCAATACGCTATCGTCGTCAATGATCATTGGCGCGATTTCCCCGTCGCCAAATTTGATTGGTGACAGGTTATTATTGTTGACGACTCCACCCCGGTCGGCGAAAGTGTATTGGTTGATGGATTTGTCCCTGTGCGCCAATGTACAAATTGGCACGGTTTGGTCCCCGTTGCCAATGTACATTGGCGAGAAAAATGGCATGTCGGCTACATGTACATTAGCGACAGTGTATTCCCTCGCCAATATACATCGGACAAAATGCCCGTTGCCAATGTACGATAAGTCAGGTAAAAAAATTATTTCTGGCATTGCAAAGCCCCCAATCGGAATGCGTAACCTTTACCTACAATTGATTCATATTATATTAAACATACTCCAATGTCACATTACGTTCGGTCATCCAACAATATTCACGTTCAGCCGATTCACCATTCAACATATTCACATTCAATCCAGACAATACTAACATATTACATTTCATCGATTCACATCCATCAATGATTAACATTAACAATTCACCTACTAACATTAATCAGGAGGTTATAATAGTGTTCAGACACCAATCCAAAAGTTACATAATAGGAGGTCATAATATTTTAACACAATCCAAAGAGTCCACAAAAGTTACAAAAGGTCTAACACATCACTACTCATCATAGTCGTGGTGACTATTCGTCGGTGACTGGCATCTATTGGTGGCGGCTGCATCAGAATAGCCGTACTGCGTACGCTGCGTTCCTACGGATCGGTACCTCCTCGTAGGCCTAAAAAGTAATATAAATCCAATATGGAGAATATATGTCCAAAAGATATAATAAATACGATATTATATAATATGACAGTATAATACCTCTCCACCTATGCAGCTGGCATGGCTCATCAAATGCCACACACCATAATATCCGCGGTAATTATAGACCCTGCGGATTCTAGCAAGTTCTACTTTACGGGTTGAGATCGATGAGTCGCTGAAGCGACATCCAAGTTGTTTGTGCATCCACTTAACTCGTGCTTAATAGTGGGAGAAAACTTAAACCAGATGGAACTTTCAACATTTCATCAAGTATTTTCCAATCTTCGCACGACATATGACGTTGGCTGGCCACCGTGTCGCGTCGATGTCAGCAGATTGGGCTTGCTTAGGCTTATTGGCTGGTGGTGAGTGTCTTAAGCTCTTAGTACTTGACAGAGACACTCTTCTTTCTTTCTTGAGTGTAAACCATAAGCCCGTCGGACAACTTCCATCCAGCGTCGTCTCTGGTCTGCGGTTAGCGCTGCATACAGGAGTGTCCTCTGTACTTCGAGACCGGCGTGAACATGGGCTGAAGACATCCGTTTTTGCGAAGCTTCGCAGCGCCGGCCTGCATATATAATATCATAAAAATTAGAAACTTTGTGAAAAATCATTAAAGTATATACAAATCCTAAAAATTAATCTATACTTCACGTTCAATTCATTAATTTTCCCACTTTTTGTCATTCTCCTCTACTTTTATAGCCCTGGGTGGTGTATAAGCTTCTTTTAGGGCCAAGAAGAAGTCGGGGGCTATAGGTCAAGCGGTCCTGTGATAATATATAAATTCCCATATTAAAGTGTAGGAACTAATCACATGAAAGCAGTTATAATATGATCATAACCGTGGTTTTCGCTCAAAATACTTATGCTCGATCTGAAGCATAAGAAGTAGTCCTAAACAAGTGATCCGATAGCTTTGATCTACGATTCGCCCGATGCCGTTTCACATATTTTCTACAAATAAAGTATTTTTTAGGTATGTGCGATATAATATATAAATGAAAAATAACGTGATGATAATTGTCATAAATTCAAAAATAATCTACCTCTTCTCGACGAGCCTCCGACTCGATAAATGAGAGTCATCAATTAAATGGAGGAACTCTCTATCAAGGCTGGCATAGAATTCTTCCTATCAGAAGATAATTTGTAAATATCTTTTCTTTAGATCATCTTCCAACCCCGGAATAAGCTTTGGCCATTTCGGGATAAACATAATCCCAAGACTCTGGGTTTGTCTTTCAGACAATAATGATCTGCAATTACATGAAAAAAAATAACCACGTGCATTGCACGTGCAATCCAACTAGTTGTAAACAAAATAAGCAGCAGTATATTAAATAATTACCATGAGCTTCTCCCAAATCTTTTTTATGCATTTAAATTCTTGCTCCTCAAAATTATGAGCAATATTAATGGAGCGTGGATCTCTTATTAAACAGCCAATCAAGTTATTAAATCTGACAGCCCAATCCCCAACAGGAATGTTGTCCTTCCACTCCAAAATGCCCCGGTACCCTTTCGGAGGTACTTTCGTCTTTTCCTCACTCCCATGCCTACCGGGTTTCTCATAATCTTTTTGGCCTACAAAGTCAAAGAGAAATAAATTTCTTATACACTTAAGTAAGCAAATAAGTATGAATTATCCAAAGTTTAAACGAAATTATTACCTTTTTCCCTCATTAGATCTGACATAGCTTTATCTAGTCTCTGTTTTATGGCACACTCCTTTCTTTTAATATCATCTCTCTTCAATTTGTAGTTCATATCACATTTTTTTTGTAATTCAATAGCTTTTTCTGGTAGAGGGATGCGAGATACTGACGGAGTCCATGGGCGGAGACATGCCATCTCTGACTGAGAAGATACAGACATCCTCTCGTGCTCGATCTCATCATCACCAGATCCATCGCAAGCATTGTCTGCAAATATTTATTAGGAATATAAAATATCATTACATTACATTAAAATATATTACAAATGTATAATACCTATACTTGGTAATGCGTCTTGATGTTGCGGTGTACCCATTTGAGATGTCCCCGCAATATCTAACAAATTATAAAATAAGAAATGAGCATATAAATTTATCAATTAAGGTAATTACATGCACAGAAAGTTCAAACTGAATAAAGCAAGCAAATTTTATACCTTCAATTGGTGAGGATCCATGTAGAGATAACTGACTCCGAGATGGTCGTGAGGACGATCCTAGATAAATAAACAACATAGTAAATATAATGCATATTTATATCAAATATACAACTTACTTAAAACAAAAATTGAATATGCATACCGGATGATGGACCTTCTCGATCCCGAGGAAAAGATAGCCTCCTAACTCTTTGGCTCATCTGCAACTTAAATTGTTAATCAAATATAATTGAAATATTTAATAAATGCATACAAGATATCAAGTCGAATTTTCATAAGGATCTTTGTATTCAATCTCCTACATTACAGATATCAAGTCGAATTTGTGAAGTATACATATTAAAATTGACATTCTGAGGGTATGAGTAATTAAGAAAAATTTCTCCTTCGGCCTCATTTGGGTCATCAGTATCATCCGAGTTTTCATCAAGAGCAAGTTGAACAAGAGTCCTCGGCTCCTTATACAATACCACCCAAACATTCGGGTGCTTAGGATCTTTGACGTAAAAGCACTGAGTAGCCTGATTTGCAAACATGAACTTCATATCGGGATATATCTCCTTATCTAGATTTACAAGATGAAAACCATATGCATCCCTAATACTGTCTGCATGACACCAACGAACCTTAAACATCACATAACTACGTACATTTTTGGTACCGTACGCATAGAATATCTCCACAATATCTTCTAATTGTCCGTAATAAATTACATCACCAAGTACCGGATTTTGATCAGTTGAGCTTGAATAACATTCTTGAGAAAATGCAGCCATGACCCCACTATTTTGAGTAACTCTCTCCTCCTCGAGCCCAACCCGTTGAAATAAACACCTATTTACACGATATCCGGTGCATTGTTTAACTATGTAGTGCGGTCCATGTGAGTGAATACTTATCTCTTCTGACACTGTTAAACCAGCACATTTTTGCCTTTCTACCTAATGTTGCACATAAACACAAATTAGTGTTAAATAGTTAGCCTTATTTATTCCCAAAAAGAATGTAAAATAAAATACACTTTAACTTACTTCAGCTATGACCCACTCGGTAAAATGTTTTTCATGAATTTTAGCAATTTGATTTCGTGCGGACGCACCAGTAATTTCTAAATGTAACTCCTCCAAATGTCGTCTGTTGATACAAAAAATTAGAGTTCAATTATTGATATAATTCAAAAAAATTCATATTTGTTAAAGTTAATTTCTTACTTGCGATAATCTTCAAAGATTTTCAGGTTCTGCAATAAGAAGGCATGAGCCTGATTCAAGTCAATTCTGGAATAGTCTTTGTTCACCTTGGTACTTCCATGAAAGGTGCCATCTCTATTACTATTTATCTCCTTATTTTTTGTATGTACACCATGTATATATCGAGAGGTGAACATCATACATTCATTTGCCACGTAATGATCAGCAATCGATCCTTCAGGATGAGCCCGATTTCGCATTATGCGTTTCAAGAAACCCAAATATCTAAAGATAATATTAATATGAGTTGTTAATATAAAGCAGTTACATGTATTGTAAATAGACTTAATTGAATTTTGACTAACCTCTCCATGGGATACATCCAACGATAGTTAACTGGTCCTCCGAGTAATGCCTCATCTACAAGATGATGTGTGAGATGGACCATGACCGTAAAAAATGATGGAGGGAAGAATATCTCCATTTTGCAGAGGGTTTCATTCATTTCTCCTTTTAGTGCCTTAAATTCATCAATATTGATAACTTTTGAGCATAACTTTTTAAAAAATCCACAGAATTCGATTATAACTTTTGCTACTTCTTCATCGGCCATGTTGTTACGAAGTGCTACCGGAAGCAATTGGTGAAGAAGGATATGATAATCATGAGTCTTAAGTCCTAAAAGTTTTCGCTCTTTCACTTGGATATTATTTGAAATATTAGAGCAGTAACCATCTGGTGACTTCACTGACTTAAGCACTTCACAGAATCTCTGCATCTCAACTTTTGACATTGTAATACGAGCTGAAGGCAACTCAAATTTGCCATTGGCGACTTCTTGTGCTTGCAGATCATGTCGGATGTTCAACGCATTCAAGTCTTATCGAGCCCTTAAATCGTCCTTTGATTTCTTACCATCTTGTAGAAGTGTGGACAATAAGTTATCACATATATTCTTTTCAATATGCATTACATCTAAATTGTGTCGGAGTTTGAGCTTGTGCCAGTAAGGCAACTGAAAGAATATACTAAATTTTGTCCATCCTGTTGGCAAAGTCTCAGCATGTGTGACATCCAAACTCCGCACTTGCCTCTTTCGTTTAGGTTCCCTCTTCATGATAGAAGTGCGTCTCGGAGCGAGAATTTCCTCTTTTGTAAATCGGTTCTTTCCGAACTTGAATTTAGGATATCTCTCAAACAAGTTCACAATCTCATCTCCAGTCATTTCACGCGGCTCCCCTCTTTTCTCTTCTTGGCCATCAAACTTATTTGCCCATTTTTTGCCCCTGAATTTATGTCCTTTTCGTAACCATCTTCTGTTAAACCAATAACATATTTTTCGACTGTGTTGTAAATAAAAGCCTTCGAAGTTCGGACCACATACAGGACAAGCAAATTTCCCTTTCGTAGACCAACCAGAGAGATTACCATAAGCTGGAAAATCATTAATCGTCCACATAAGAATAGCACGGAGATTAAAAGACTCACAAGAAAATGCATCATATGTTGGGACCCCTTCATCCCAGAGACATTTTAAGTCATCAATTAACGGCTCCATGAACACATCTATGTCATTACCGGGTGAATGTTTGCCTGGTATCAATAATGAAAGAATCATATATGATTGCTTCATACAAAGTCCAGGTGATAAATTATAGGGCATTAACACAACTGGCCAAGTAGACCATCCCGAACTCATAATGCCAAACGGGTTGAATCCGTCACTAGATAGCCCAAGTCTGACATTCCTGCACTCTGTGGCAAATGAGGGAAAAGTTTGATCCACATGCTTCCATGCCTTTGCATCTGCTGGGTGTCTCACTTTACCATCATCTACACGTCTTTCCTTATGCCACCGCATATCTTTTGCTATATTTTTTGTCATATACAGACGTTGTAACCGAGGCACTAAGGGAAAATGTCGAAGCACCTTCGCTGGAATTTTCTTCTGTTGATTCACTGACTCATCTGACTTTCGTGTTGAAGTACGTGCATTCTTTCTCCATCGAGACACTCCACACTTTGGACATTCCTCAAGTTTCTCGTTATCCTTATAATAAAGGACACAATCATTGGGACAAGCATCGATCTTATTGTAATCTAAACCCAGAGCACCAACAATCTTATTTGCATCATAACACTTTTCTGGTATGCTATTCTCTCCGTCTGGAATTACCTTGCGTAGTAAATTAAGAAGCATTTGAAAATATTGATCTGCCATTCCGCTCAGGGTCTTAATACGCATCAGTTTAAGAATAAATGACAACCTACTATACTCAGTGCAACCATCGTACAGATCCTTCTCGTTGTCTTCCAATATCTTCACTAAATTTCTGTAGGCCCCGCTATCACGCACGTCCTCGGTATTTTGGACATCATCTGCATCTCCAGGAACTTCAACAACATTTGGTACTTCTGGAACTTCATTAACTTCTGTAACTGTCGTAACATCGTTGAACATTACGTGCGTATCGTCTATATTTCTATCATCTAATTCAATATCTTCACCTTCTCCGTGAAAACTCCAATATTTATAATTTTCATCAAATCCCCATCTTTCTAGGTGTCTTCGTATAGCAACTCTATCCACCAGACCTCTATTCCTACACTTACTGCATGGACAACACAACAAATCGTTCTCTATCTTCCTCGGATTAGCATATGCATATTCAAGGAATGCTTCCCATCCGTCTCGATATCGAGTATCACCTTTTGCTCTTCTTTTCAATATAGCTAGGAATATTAATCCATGACTTATCAGGAACTTCTCTCATCTGTATAATAGGAAAACTTATTAATTAATTTAATATCTCTTAAATCGTCATAAGTTTAAAAGTCTTTATTTTAGTTGATTGAACAAATAATCAAACGAATTAAATTACTCTTCTATAATGGCCATTGTTGTACCAAATAAAAGCTAACACTCTATGATAAGTAATCCTAATTTAAACCAATACTCTCGGCTGTCATAGGAAGGCTTCTATCCCATTAAGAATATAGTAGTGCTTACATCTAACTTTGAATACTATGTGTATTTTCATTTCTAGAAAATTTCGACAGCACCTACCCGTTGTTCTCCAAGTACACTGTGCGGATGTTATTATGTGTATCGGTAATGGACCAAAATCGGCAAGTAATAGTCCGATACACATAACAACATATGCTTATTGTACCCAGAGAACAACAAGTACGTGCGACCGAAATTTTCTAGAAACGAAAATACACATAGTATTCAAAGTTATATGTAAGCACTACTATATTCCTAACCCGTCCGAAATGGACAGATCCAATAGTTACTTTCCAATTATTTCTACTTATAATATAAATTAAGCGATCCATTTCGGTATAAATTTAAATTTTATACTCAAAGTTGAATCGTCCATTTATATTATAGGTCTAAATAATTGGTAGTAATTATTGGACGGTGATCTACGGCTGACGTTAACTTATTATTCACCTAAATTTAATATATAACACATTATTGTGTTATATATCACACTGTGCTTTTTTGATATTTTTTTGAACATTTGTGACTCCACATAAGCTACTCGGTCCATTTACACCATTATTTTATGCTTAATAACTTCAGAACAAAGAGGAGGCCCCTGGGTTTTAATACAAAAGAAATACAATTTTACCGCGACCAAACTTTAATTACACGGTTAAAATTATGGTTAAATATTACAACAAGGTGATCAAATCCATCATGCATATATCTGTAAACATAAAACAGTGTACTTCAAACTGTATTAAGGGATATTAGTCGTCAGTACTCAAATTCAAGCATCATTAATGTACTATCCCGAACTGAGGCTGTACATGAAATGTCGTGTTCTACAACTATCAATCACACAGTCATAACACAAAAATAAACTTTTACCAAAATAACTTCTTTGAAAACATTCATCATTTTAAAATAATTTCCTTCTACAACATAAATTCTAAAAAATATTATAATTAATCTAAAATAATTCTGTTACCCAAAATAAATTCTTTAATTATTATATTAGTTCTAAAAATACTATTTATCACATAATTACTATTCAGTCAATATTATTTATCAAACCCACGCAGATAAATATTAACAGATCTAAAATTACAGATAATTCATAATAAATAGAAAAATAGTTCTGAGCAAGCGGGATCTTGCCTCGGAATATTGTCGAACGAAACGACGAGACTACGACGAATGTGAACAAGGACAGTGGGCTGGGGTTTGGGCGTTTTCGTCGGAGCTCGGCGGCTCAAGACAGCGACGGCTCAGGTGGACTCGACGGCGGAGTGCGGCTGCTGGCGGAGGTTCTAGCGGCGACGGGATGTTGGGGAGGACAGCGTGGTGCTTGGGGAGGAGGTCGACAAGGATGCGAACGGTGTCTCGACGTCGGGCAGCAGAGGAGGGACGACGGGCTGCTGGAGGCGGAGCTCGGGGAGTCGAGGGTTTCTTCGGGCTGCAGGAGCGCGGCGGGACGTCTCAGGCGGCGGCCGCGGGGCTGACGGCCGGCAAGGTTCGAGCGGTTCAGGCGAGACGGAGGACGCGATCTCAGGGTGCGCGTGAACGGGAGAGCAGGAAATCTTGGTGGTCTGCTGGTCGCGAGGTGATGAGCCGACGGACGCAATCGAGGTCGGAGAAGGGCTGCACGTAGGCCCTCGGCTGTATGGCGGCTGGACCTGAGGTGGCGAGCCGCCATTGGCCGGCCTAGCGCCGGTTGCTGTAGGGCGCGGGCCCAGCGCGTGACATTAGTGCTCGGCAGGCGGCGTCGTCCCTTGGCTCTAGGCGGGGTGTTGAGCGTGCGTAGTCGGTGGCGCTCAGGTGCCGCCGTCGGCCTTGGGGTTGGTCGGCACGATTAGACGAGAGAGGAACGTGATGAGGGCTGTGGGCGGCGGTTTGTGAACAGGAAAAATAAAATAACAAAAAAAACAATATATTATATAATATTATATATAATATATATATATATATATATATATATATATACTATATATATATATATATATATATATATATATAATATATATATTATATATATTATATGTACTATATATATACAATAGGGTTTAATGGGTTAAAAAGTTAAAGCAAAATTAATTAAAAAGAAATAACTAATGCATATTTAAAAATCAAAATAAATAGCGGAATAATTTATTCTACAAATAAAAAGCTACGCTGTTGTGCTATTACACAATTGCATACAAATAGTCAAAATATACCCATATTATATAATGTAAACAACGAATTAATTAATAATAAAAATATTTTACTTTAAAATTTAAAATTCAATAATTATGGATTAATTACGTACACGAGTTAAAACGTACTAGTTATACTAATCACGACAGGATAAATGATGTAACAATAGAAATAATACAACAAATTATCAACACAACACGTACTTAATAATACCATGTA